ATTTTGGATTTTGTAGTGTGCTTTTGTGTTTTATTTTTGTATGTTTTAATGACATGTTTTAAAATGTAATGTTTTAACTAATTCACTTTTTATATTGTAATGTTGGTAGTGTATTTCGATGGCGTTTTTCACCTTGCTTAGAGACTTGGAAACTAGCTATATAGTTATGACACATTTACAAAACTTTTGACTAATGTGTACTGTCCCTATTCAAATAAACTAATAAATAAATTAACAACTGTAATGAAGTGCTCATGTTAAGTTCAGACACATCTACAGTCTTGCTTCTGTTTGGGTCACTCCATAGTCCACACTTCCACATCACAGAATGCTCCAAAGAAAACACCACAATCTACCAGACGTGGCAATAACTACATATTTTTAATGTATTTATGTGTTTTCTTTCCTGAAACTGACTTAGCGACTTATTTTTCTGGTCACTTTTTGGTTTTACTACTTAATTTTGAACCCTAGTATCTCTACTTTCACCTCCTTACAGTACATTTTAAATTGTCAACTTACTTTCATTCTTACATACTTACATTCGACACAGCCATATTTCTAAGTTCAGATCATCTTATATTTTTGTTTCAGCGTCACAAATTTACCCATCAATATGATCTTGAAATTAATGTGTTAAACGGGTGAATTCCATAATAAAACCAATTAAAAGTGTCAATTTGGAGTCAAAAATAAGTCGTAGATTTTAACTCCTCCCAAACCATCCACATCTCTATTTTCATATGTCAAAAGAATTTGCAGTGTGTGTGTTTATAGAAGCTCAAAGATAATGGTTTTAGTAACACAGCAGCAGATACAGCTCAAATAGATCCATGCTCAGGGGTCACTGCACACAAACCCAACGTATTTCTGACGTCTCTATCTTCCACAAGGAGCCATGGCGCCCCCTTTCAGCTCTGTGTGGAACTGTAGAACCAGCCTTTGTTCTGTGGACACTGCACAGGTGTGGAGAAAACACACATTTGGCGTTAGAAGTATTGGCATTGTTACATTTAGTAGAATATTCATTAATGTGTCTTATTATGCAATAAACCAACTCGGACTCTTAGGAGAGACTGGCCTCCTGCTAGTGCCATGATTCAGAATTAAACATGGGGAGGTTGTATTTCAGATTCATGCAGCTAAAATCTGGAACAGTCTTCCTGAAAATCTGAGCCAGGCTTCTTCACTGACAATGTGCAAATCTAGGTTAAAAACAGTTCTGTTTAGCTGTACATACAACTGAGGGATTTTATCTTTACTCTTTTTAATGTACTCTGATTATTTATTGATGTTTTTTTTCTTGTTTTATTACGCACTTTGAGTCATGTGTTTGACTCAAAGTGCGTGAGTGCGTTTTGAAGTTTGTCAAAACACAAATACAAATAATTTTCACATTTTAACTGTAAACTGGGAAAATAGACACACAATTTGCAAATACACCATATTTTATTTTTTCAGTATTTTTTTCTATATGTTTGTGTAAAAACGAATAATTATCTCAATTGCCAATGGAGACAGTCAAATTACATTTAGAAATTACGATACATTTAATTTTAAGGGTATTTGAAATGCATATTTAGCGAGTCTTTTCTACCGTATTGTAATTGTGTCAGTGGGACATTTATATGTACTGTAATTTTGCACAAAAGTAAATGCCATGAGAATCTACTGCTATGTGTGGCACTCTGTTGAGATGTGATGAAATGCAAAAGAGCCGGTGCGCTCACAACTGACATTTGGGGAAGAAAATTCCCACATTTACCTGCAGTGGTTCCCAAAGTGGTTGCCAAGAATAAAGATAAGATCATAGTTAATGACATAATAAACAACATTTGATATATTTGTGTGTGTGTGTGTGTGTGTGTGTGTGTGTGTGTGTGTGTGTGTGTGTGTGTGTGTGTGTGTGCGCGCGCATGTATATATTTGTCTGTGTGTATTAGGGAAGAAAGCTTTGTGCTGTGCGACCGCAGACGCACAGTGACCTCTGCAGGACACTTCTGTAACAGCATGGAGAATGAAAGAAAAAGTGTTTTTGTCCTGTTTATAATGCATCAGTTTTATATAGCGCTTTTTATGACATTGACAGACACTACACATGTCATTATTCTTTCACTCCATACACGGTGGTGATAAACTACTACTGTAGCCACAGCTGCCCTGAGGTACATTGACAGAAGCAAGGCAACCAGTGTGTGCCATCGGCCCTTCCGACCACCCCCAAACATTCAAACACACACCAGGCATGTGGGTTAAGTGTCTTGCCAAGAACACAACGACAGCAGTGGAGAAGGTCCCGTGGTGGGCTCTAACCCACAACCTTCAGGCCCAAAGGCCAATGCTCTACCAACTGAGCTACTGTCACCTCCATGTAAGTAGTAGTAAGTAATCTTTATTTATATACCGCCTTACACAGACCAGAGTCACAAAGCGGTTTACAATTATGTTGTTTTTTTTTGGGCACTTGTCTTCTCACTCCAGACAGAGATGGGAGCGGGTTCACCAAACAGGAGGCGCATGCCAGAACTGTTGTACATATTTTTAGTGGTAGGGGAAACCAGAGTACCCGGAGGAAACCTATGCAGACACGGGGAGAACATGCAAACTCCACTCAGAAAGGGCCTGGTCCGACCGGGATTCGAACCCAGGACCTTCTTGCTGAGAGGCGAGAGTGCTATCCACTCAGCCACCGTGCCGCCCATTCAGATTGACTTCTGTTGTTTTTGAACAACAGAGACATTTGGAGAAGAGAGAGAGAAATTATTGTTGTTACTATTATCATTATTATTATTATTGTTATTATTATTATTTGGATTATTTGTATCATTATAGTTATTATCATTGTTATTATTATAAACATATGCTGCTACTTTTGGCCACTTCGTATAATATTGATTATGTTACTATTTCTCTCTCTACATATACTATACTATATATAATACATAAACTATGTGTTTTTATGCCCTGTGCTGCTCAATGAAATTACCCCGGTGGGATAAATACAGTAGTCTGAATCTGAAAACCAGGCCAAATTTTGGTCTACCTTGATGTTAAGGAAGTTAGTTAGAAATGTTTGTAATTTGATGTATTTATGTGTTTATGCAGATGTGTTTTCTGCTGCTGGACACCAGAATTTCCCCTACGGGGATCAATAAAGTATCTATCTATCTACAGTCCCCAAATTCTCTTCACCTCTACATCACTTCTGTTTCTTATCATTCCACAAATATGGAATCAAGGGAAGAACACCAGAGCTGTATACGGTCCATACTTAAAATGTTTACTGTTTAACCTTTATTTTGTTGTGCTTAAGTAATTGTCTGTTTCCAAGCAGTAAATGCATTCACTTTCCAGGACTTGATTTCCTAAAATAACTTTCCATCTGCCCTCAGTTTTGTCTCATCTCTTTAGGTCAATCAAATATAGTGTTCTATCTGTTCCCTGCATTTGTCCCGACTGTAATCCCTGTACAAAAGCATTTAACGGCATAATCCTCCTCCTTTTACTTTCTTCAAAACCATGCGTCTTGTCGATCCAGATGGAGGGAACAAAACAATTTAGTGTAACCGTGTAAGTTGGGATTAATTTGCTTGTACAGCGTGGACACTTAGCTGCTGTTTGGAATCAGATTAGGATTGTATCTTTTTTGTGTGAAAGTTATTGTGCTTTTCAGCTCTGCCAAAAACTGCAATCTCCCGTCCTTGTCCAAAAGCTCTGTTTTAGCCGGACACAGTTACATATGCGTTTCTCCAACACAACACTAAATTGGTTTTGAGTTTATTTTGCTAAACAGATTTCATGTACGACAGTATAATTTGGATGAATATAATTATAGGAATTGTGTAGAGAAGCAGTTGTTTAGGGGATTTGAAAAGAGCAGTTATGTATGTTCAAAATATTGTTTAAAGTGATTTTTTTTTTCATATTGAGGTGGTTGTTTCAAATAGCATATTACAATGTCTACACACATTTATTAAAAACACAATTGTTTTTAAAGAACTGTGTGATATTCCAATAATAATATATTTATGTTCTAAACAGTTGAAACCTCAGTGACCTGATATTATCATTGGGCTGAATGACTGCCTCATACCGTAGCCCTGTGGCTGATCACTGCAGTTTGATGACCATGAAGATCATGTATAAGCCTTTTATTGCATTTGTTTACCCATTTAGTCATTCATACTGTGGCCACAGCTGCCCCCGGGCAGACTGATGAAGTACGACTGCTCATTTGCACTTAATTCCACACCCACACGCCAGAGTTACGATAGGTAATGTGGGTAAAGTGTGTGTTTTTTAAGGAAAAAAAATCATTACAAAAATGACAAAACATTGATTATATGAAAGCGATAACAGAAGGTGGATAGTATCACAGACAAGAACTGCAAGACTCATTGCAAAATCATAAATGTATTATCCCCTGAAAAATGTTGGTGGCCCTTTTATTAAGAAGTTTGGACACCCCTGCCTGCACTAGTGGAACATTGCATTGATGCTTATATTATAATGAAACAAAAACAAAAAAGAAGAAGAAGATTAAAAAGTGCAAAATCCAATGTTGGATATCCTATATGTATATACATACATACATACATATATGTATACATACATATATGTACTGTATGTATGTCTACATACCCCACAGACTGTAAATATTAATAGTCACAGTTATACAGTCACCATGTTAATGGTAACCCTCTGTATTATACAGTTTGTGTATAAATAAAAGTAATATAAAGTGTATGAATAAAAGTAATATAAACATTACCAAAAATATCTTATATCACATATTTTATTCAGCAATGACTATCAGGACCGTGGTGAGCGGTGGCCCTTGAGCGCCTGTTATGTTTATTACTCAGGCGCTGCTGCGGGCATTCTGCTTTGGGTCCTTCAGTGATCATGTCGCACACACTGCTGATTTGGAAGATGTTATTGCCGTGAAACTTTTGTCCGGAGATTTCTTTTCATTACATAATTCTCATGCTTTTGCACAAATGCGGAGCCCTTACTACAAGACGCAGAATGGCTCCCACTGCACGTATTCTAAACTAAAAGGTAAACCTTGGGCTCGTTAGCTTGAGCGGCTAATGCAGACGCTCAGAATGGACCTGTTTGTTTGGACTTTTAGCTCATGCTTAGTTTATTTCACTGTGATACCAGCTATAATCGCATCGGGGAGTGAAAATATTGTTGAATGTTTTACTGTATTATTGAACAGTAGCGTTATATATTATTCCTAAAGTGAGTTAAGAGCTTCTTTACTTCGAACAAATCAGAGGCGTTAATTACAGCATTATCGTGGCTACGTGTCCCCTGCTTAATATTATAGATCCATGGTCTCCTGCCATTTGCTTTAAACTTTACATAAGTATTAAAGGTTTAAACATCTTACAATCAAGAAATAAATCTAGAGAATGCAAAGTAAGTCAAAGGTGTTTAGGTAATGGTTATGTCACCGTTTGTTTGGGCCAATAAATGTGAAAGAATTGCATGTTCTCATAAAATAATTGTCATAGTTCATTGTTTTGCGTCTACATTTCAATACACTATTAACTCATTGACTGCCAGCAATTTTTGATGACTTATTTCGATTACTGATTTTCAACTCACAGAAATATGAAAAAAATGAAACCAGAGTCTGAAAGAATGCACTGTCTTTCAGCAGCCAAAATATGTTTGTTTTTAGCTTGTTTCGTTCTCCTGTGATCTCCAGGAGTGTGACAAAAAGCATCAGTCTTAGACAAAAAGCTGAGAAAATGAGGTGTTTGGTGCAGGTGACGAACCTGCAGAAAAGTGATGTAACACTATTTAGTTTAACTAACTAACCCTTACATGTTAGAAAACAGCCACAAGTTATGAGAAAGTGTTTTGATACAAAATAATGTTTTATGGCACGCACACCCACATCCACAGTGTCGTTCGAATATTTCAAAATGTACTCATACAAAAACGTCAACATTTACATGAAAGTAGAGACCATGAGAAACTATGCCAGGAAGAATGGCCAGTATTCATCCATTAGGTGGCGCTATATTTATGTCAATAACAATAAATCGGAGATAAACAAAATTACAACGATAAACACTATAAATGACAATAAATCAAAGTGAACAGACAATATACTTATACTATAAGTGCAATAGAATACTGTTGTGTGTGTTTGGGCGCGCATGTGCGTGCGTTTGTGTGTGTTTGTGTGGTTACATCTACAGAGTATCGTTCTGTTGAGTCCAGCGAGCGCTGTGATAGTTCTCTGACCCTCCACATGGTCTGTGTCAGCTCTGGAGACACATTTACTGCTCAAACTGCCTCCAAATGTGGCCTGACCCTGACTATATTCCTCCATGTCTGCTTCACCTCTGTCTCTCCTGTTGAGTGCTCAGGCAGTGAGCTGCTGCCACCTGCTGGCATAATAGAATACTGTCTACAGCCAAACCCCAGACATATGATACACAGACACAGACGGACAGGAAAAGATTGAAAAACAATGTTGACGTCAATGGCAGTCAATGAGTTAAGAAAAATAACGACAAAACATTCAGTCACTGTAAGCTATAACAGAAAGTGGATCATATCACAGAAAGGCTTAATAATTGCAATAAGGCCGCAATTATTTAGGTCATTGCTTTGCAAACAACATTTCTTAAAAAGTAGATCATTTCTTAAACAGTAGATCAAAATGTGCTTTAAATAACTTAATTTTAATACATATTGATCCAATAATGAAGGTTTCCCAATGGAGTTAGATTTTAATTTGATTCCATGAAGTTGTGGTTGTTGCTGTTAATCACTGATGTGCAAAGTTCAACCTGGACCTTTTTAATTCTAGCTACATAATCTTGTTGCAGAAGACTTCTGGTTGTGCTGTAGAGTAAACCATCACGAAAGCTTGTTTGAAATGTGTAGGTCTTTGAAGGTTAAAATGGGAATTTGCATCATGAGCTTCAGAATCCAGGACACTTTCAATACAGAATATTTTGGAAGAAATATGCAACCCTATTGCACACAATGTATATTTGTATACATTTTTTGGTGATAATAGAAGCAAAAAATTCCGCTATTTAAAAACAAATATATACAAGTTCCAACAAACCTGAAAACAGCAGTTCCTTGTTTTTACCTAATCATTGGTTGAAGTCAAAATAGCAGCTATGATTTTATTGTGTCCTGTTCTCTCCTCAGCCTCGGGCCCCTCCCCTCTGGCCGTCATGTCTCAGAAGGCGCAGAGGGCTCCGCAGGCCACCTACATCGAGCTGGGGGGATATCAGTACTGGCCTGTGCTGGTGCCCCGGGGTATCAGGCTGTACACCTATGAGCAGATCCCAGTGTTCCTGAGAGACAACCCTTACATCACAGACGGCTACAGGGCCTACCTGCCCTCGCGCCTCTGCATCAAGAGGTCAGAGCACACTGCAGTTGATTTGGTCCAATCAAAGCAGTGGAATATTACGTTGCAGTGTGAAGAGTCTAGTTTCTCTGTTTAGAAACGTGGGGCATGCACATGGTTTTGTATCCTCCGCTCTGCCTGTGCCTCTAATCATTGAATTCCTCTTGATCCGTGCGTCTGTGTATAATGGATGCTTTTTACGTATAGTTTATCTTTCAAATCGTGTAAAACAATTTCTATAGACAACAAAGTGCTGATAAGAGTAGAAAATCTGAGTGTATATAGAATAATGTATTGTATAGGAATAAACCCTGAGGAGCAAGATTTACTATTATCTTTCTCCTGTTCTGTGTCTTATTCAGAATTCTGCAGCTCGCGTTCTGACTCGGACAAGAACAACATCTCACATTCCATTACATCAGTAATTGATCTTGATCCAACTCAGGCCTGGATTGACTTTTGAATCATGATACTAATTTATAAAGCTTTTCACAATTTGTAGTTGTAGTTCTCATCAACTCATGCCTGTGTGCAACCTCAGATCCTCTGACCTCAACCTTTACACTGTTCCTTGTGTAAGATGATGGTAGGAGAAGCGGCTCTCTCCCATCATGGTCCTTGTAAATGGGATGTTCCAGTGAATGACCGTCATTCAGTAGCAAACTAAAGACTCAAGTCCATCCATCCATTTTCTTCCCCTTAATCAATACCTGGGTCTGGGGGATTTAGCGTCTTGCTCAAGGACACAACGACAACAGTCATCAGTGGGAGTCGTGAAGTCTTGTAGTGGGCTCGAACCCACGACCTTCAGGCCCAAAGGCAAATGCTCTACCAACTGAGCACTGCCTGTCCTGGCACTGTGTGCCCCTCTTTACAGAAAGTCACTGTAAAGACTCACGTGACTTTCTTTTCTCTCAACCTGTGGCCGTGTCTCTTTGTTCAATGTCTTGTTGTGATTTGTGTTGTCATGTCTTGGTAGCGCACATTGAGTTACATTTGTCTACAATGTGCTATATAAATAAATGATGCATGAATTAACTGCATGTAAATCTGTTGTTGCAGCTTGTTCATGGTGTCTAACGAGTCTGTGAACATGTGGAGCCACGTGCTGGGCTTCCTGCTCTTCTTCTGTTTGGGCGTCTACAACATGGCGACCGTGCTGCCGGCTGTGGGGGCCTCCAGAGAGGACTACGTCATCTACTCAGTCAGCCTCTTCTGTTTCCAGGTACTGCTCTGTGTGTGTGTATTACAATTATTCATATTATTCACCCTGGTGCTATATATGATTTTTCCTAACTTGACCATTTAGTCATTTAGACCCTTCTAGACCCTAGTATAGGGTATTTTTTATTCCACTTTTGATCCTGTGGTGGGTCATTTCTTAAAAAGCTAGCTATATATTTCATCACTGTACCATAATCCCCAAGACAAATACTAGTTTGAATGAATTATTTCACTACAATAGCAATAAAAACATTCTGGTCCACAGGATTATCTCACAGGGCTGTCCAAATCAACGCTTTAACTCATGGAATTATTAAAAACAATGTTGCATTAATCATGGCTTAATTATGGCTTAATCATAGATTACTTGTAATCTCTTTCAATGTGAGAGCAACAAGTGCAATTCCCTGAGTAAAAGAGGCACAGAACCAGTGCAGCTGCTGTTTGTGACACTTCCACAGTGAAGACTCGGATCCACTAAACCTGTTCCTCTGTATCAGAATAGACACACATTCACTACCATTATCAAATATCCTGAAATACTGCATTTCAATAATGAAATGAGATATGAAAAATATCTCTTAAGTGTCCATTTTTATCATGTGCAAAGCTTTCTCACATTTTGTCTTAGCACTTTTAGTTATTCCTGTTTTTTTGTTTTTTTCTGCATTAAGGGTTGATTTCACCAATATTTTGGATGTGTATGAAAGGTTGAAGTTTGTTCTACAATGGTGTGTATCTATACTGTAACTGTGTGTGTGTGTGTGTGTATATATTTATACTAATACTGTAGCTGTATGTGTTCACTGAAGCTCCTTGTGTCCCGTGCAGCTGTGCATGCTGTGCTCTGTGGGCTTCCACGTCTTCTGCTGCCATCGCTCAGAGAAAACCAGTCGGCGCTGGATGGCTCTGGACTACGGCGGTCTGTCCATCGGGATCCTGGGATGTTACGTCCCTGGGGTTTTCTACACCTTCTACTGCAACAACGTGAGTCCAACATCAAGGAAGTCTCCAGAGAGCAGTTCTGTATCAGAAGAGAATCTCTTTGAGACTAAACTCATACTTCTGTATGAAACATTTGTTAGTGGTGACAAAATGCACGTCATAAGGTTCAGCTATTTGACCGTGGATTAAATGAGTAATCTAAACTTTACTTTCAACAAGCCATCCTTAATTAAATGCATTCATTTATTTTAGACAAATGTATTCAGAGTTAAATAAATGAGACGTTTGTGCGTGACAGAGCCGTTAAGTTATTTCACCCAAAACATTTTACATTCTCCAACATGAAAGTAAATATTCTCGACGATTATGATTAAGGATCAAAAGGAGCACAAATGTATGTGAAATTTGAGATATTCTAAACTGGAGATTTGCCGACTAAAGTATAAGATGTCTGTTTCTCCAAACCGTGTGACGCAGAGATGGGACCCCTCTGTCCCGTGGCGCTGCCCTCCGCTCTGCCTCTGTAATAATTGAATTCCTCTGGATCTGTGCGCCTGGCCCACCACCGTCCCTACACCTTTGAAATGTGACGAACGCCCACGGCTCATCCCTTTAACCGCTTTGGACGCTTTTTATCCCCGCCATCTCCCGCCAACAAAACACACACTTCTCCGCTTTGCCCTCGCTCAAATCTGCTGCGGCTCCGACCAGATGGCTTCCACAAAAAAGAAAGAAAATTAAAAAAAACCCTCTTTCTTTCATTCGATGCCAGCGCTGGGCCAGTCCTCTGTTCTCCCCAAACCAAACAGGCGGCATTATTACTTATTGCATGAATCATTTAGTGCGCCACAAGATTGGGAGTTTTTTTTTTGGCTGTACACTGTTGGTGTAAATTTATGCGGCGCGAGATTTTCCGGGAAAAAGTGCGGCTGGACGCTCTCCACACAAACGGACAGAAGGACGCGGAACAAAATGTGCCACGCTTCTGGAAAGGTTTGTTCTTATGGATTAACTGCAGGAGTTTGTCTGTAACACCTCCAGAACGCACACAAAGGTGCTCAGATTCCATCCGGCCAAAAACTAACCAAGGCCTTCAGAGGGCCTGTTGGATCCCAGTCATTCCCACAACTGAAGGATGTGAATCCCGTTCGAGTACATAAACGCAAACAGCCCGCGGTCACATATTTCACAGAAAGGATATTTTCAGCGGGAAAAAGACGGAATTTGCGGATCCGCAGACAATTCTCATCCCTGGGTTATCCCGATGCATTTCATTGGTCAAGAGAATTGATCAATGAAGAGAATTGGTCAAAAAAGAAAAAATAGACGTGTCCGCTTTCCCGGCCTTAAAGGTAGAATTGCGCAACAGCGCTTCTGGCTTGAAAGGTAGAAATGCGAAAATGCGTTCCCGGCCCTAATGGGTTAACTTTAAAGCGTGTTTCCAGGTTTAATTGCACAATTATACATTTAAGAAGGGTTTATTGACCCCAACATTTTTCTGGAAAGTAGTAAAGTGAATAGATGAATACCAATAATAGTTGTTATTATAGCTGTGGCCCTAGCAAAAATGTTAGTCCTTCAGTCAAATACTGTAGATTTAATATTGACCCCCTCTTCCCTTCATCATTCACATTTCACTAAAAGTAGGACCAATGAGCCCAGTCCTGACTTGGTATTCTGATCCCAGAGGTCTGTTTATTTCATTCAGAAAAAGCAGTAAACCACATGAGTTGTGTGTCTTGGTACATCTATGGACATTTATCAACATTCATGGAAATTGGTCTCTCCCTATGGACCAATTCTTCTGTGTATTTGTGTCTTTACTGTTGATTCTCTGATCTGTGTTGGTGATCTCAATGGGTTTGTTAAGTCCTCTGAGATGACTGCTGTTGTGATTTAGGGCTACAGTAGCTGGTAGAGCGTTGGTCTTTGGACCTAATGGTCGTGGGTTCGATCCCACCACAACCCATGTCATCTGCTCCCACTGCTCCCGGCACAGAGAACGACTACAGGAGCAGTTTGGTAACAACGATACTGCTTCTGTCTGGAGGGGCCTACGGGAGATCACCAACTACAAGCCCAAAGCCCCCCCCTGTGCTGACAACCACAAGCTAGCTGACGAACTGAACTTATTTTTCAGTCGCTTTGATGCTGCCCCTGACACCTCTCCCTCCCCCACCCCCCACTACTCTAACGACCCACCCATCAGCCCTGCCCCCAGCCTAACAATAGCCTCTAAAGATATTAAACAACTCTTCCTGAGGCTGCACCCCCGCAAAGCTCCTGGCCCGGACCACGTGTCTCCGGCCACTCTGAGACACTGCGCCAGTGAGCTTACTCCTGTGTTCACTGACATTTTCAACACCTCTCTGCAGTCCTGCCATGTCCCGGCCTGCTTCAAATCCTCCATCATTGTCCCCGTCCCGAAGAAGCCCAGGATCACAGGACTCAATGACTACAGACCTGTAGCACTTACGTCTGTCGTCATGAAGTCTTTTGAACGCCTGGTTCTCTCCCATCTCAAGTCCCTCACCTCCCCCCTCCTGGACCCCCTGCAGTTCGCCTACAGAGCCAACAGATCTGTAGACGACGCCATTAACCTGGCCCTCCACCACATCCTACAGCACCTGGACTCCCCGGGGACCTACGCCAGGGTCCTGTTCGTGGACTTCAGCTCTGCCTTCAACACAATCCTGCCATCCCTGCTCCAGGACAAGCTCTCCCAGCTCAACGTGCCCGATTCCACCTGCAGGTGGATCACTGACTTCCTGACGGACAGGAAGCAGCGAGTGCGTCTGGGGAAGAATGTCTCGGACTCTCGGATTATAAATACAGGAGCCCCACAGGGCTGTGTTCTTTCTCCCCTGCTCTTCTCCCTGTACACCAACCACTGCACCTCCAGCCACGACTCCGTGAAGCTGATCAAGTTCGCGGACGACACCACCCTCATTGGACTCATCTCCAACAACGATGAGTCCGCCTACAGGAGGGAGGTGGACCGGCTGGTGTCCTGGTGCAGTGGTAACAACCTGGAGCTGAACGCCCAGAAGACAGTGGAGATGATTGTGGACTTCAGGAGGAGCACTGTCCCCCCGCCCCCACCCTCCGTGATGGACTCCCCCATCACCTCTGTGGAGTCCCCCCGTTTCCTGGGCACCACCATCACCCAGGACCTCAAGTGGGAGCCGACCATCAGCTCCCTCATCAAGAAGGCCCAGCAGAGGATGTACTTCCTGCGGCAGCTCAGGAAAGCCAAGCTGCCTGCACAGATGTTGGTGCAGTTCTACACGGCCATCATCGAGTCCATCCTCACCTCCTCCATCACCGTGTGGTTCGCTGGAGCCACAGTCAGGGACAAACAGAGACAATAGCGCATTGTGCGCTCTGCAGAGGAAGTGATTGGCCGCAGCCTTCCATCGCTGCAGGACCTGTACGTCGCCCGAGCTCGAGGCCGGGCTGGTCGTATCACAGCCGACCCCTCTCACCCTGCACATGGACTATTCCAACCACTCCCCTCAGGCAGGAGGCTGCGGTCCATCAGGACTAGAACCTCCCGCCACAAGAACAGTTTCTTCCCCTCTGCTGTTGGACTCTTGAACACTTCTTAACCTGTTCTCCCGCCCTTTATAAAGTCACTTTACTGCCCATCATACGTCACTTTACTTCACTGTACTGCTGTCACCTTACATTGTGTGCACCATGTGCACTTGTATATTGTAAATAGTAACTGTAACTCTATTTTAAATGTAAATTTATTCTTTAGAAGTGTTTTTTTTTTTATTCGTATTTTTATTATCTCTTTTTGACTGTTGCACTGAGCCAAAGCAATTTCCTAGTCTGTGACCTCCTGTTACTTACGTGGCAATAAAAATGATTCTGATTCTGTTGTCGTTGTGTCCCTGGGCAAGACACTTAACCTGAAGCGCCGGCTGAAAGACCAAGGCTGTATCTGCATTGAAGGAGCAGCCATCTTCCTGTGGACCCACCACCTGCAGGAGGATCAGCGAGGGACTGGTGCATTGTGAATTGGGTGGCGGCTCTGATTACCACTCCCCTGACCCAGAAATGGATAATAAAGGGATGAAAATGAATGCTGTTGTCTTGTTGTCCAGCCTCACCAAGGTGGACAACCACAGGGCTGCAACCGTGGTGGTCTATTGATTTCATATTTGTGTCAGGCTGGTACAATGTTGATGTTAACTCGAGACTACTCAAATTGTTGAGTTACTTTTTTAAGAATTGTTTTTGTTCAGCAAAGATGACCTTGATTGTTCCACCAGGTTGATGGTCAACGAATCCCTTGTTCACACATGTGCCCTGTGCTCTGCAGTACTGGAGGCAGGTGTACCTGGTGGCGGTGCTGGCCATGGTCCTGGGAGTGTTCTTTGCTCAGATCCACCCTGTGTCGCTGAGTAAACAGTGGAAGCAGATGCGCTCCCTGCTCTTCTGTCTGATGGGAGGCTACGGCCTGGTGCCTACCGCCCACTGGGTCTGGCTCTCCGGGGGCTTCAGCTCTGAGCTTGTGCAGGTAACGTCCATGTTTCTAATGTCAACGTAGTCTGGAGTATTGTCCAAATTGCTCATGTCTCCAATTTTTTAAAAGGTCCATTATTGTCCTGCCCTAGTGAGACTTGAGTAAGGCTATGGCATATTAAATATTATCGAAACAAGAAAACCTCTAGAATATCAATAAAAAAACTAGTCCACACCATGTCACCCTTTATTTGTGATACTTTGTAAGTTGAAGTAAATGGACTTCTCAATGATATATTATTTTTTTTACCTGGAAATTTGTTGGCCGACAAGAATCCTTCTTCATTGGTCGGTTTAGAATGATTCAAAAGATGCACTTTAAACATTCTTGAACTCAGACTTTTATCCACAACAGTGATTGTAGCAATAACATGGTTCAGTGTAATCGTTATGCTTTTGAGCTATCCCCGTAGCAGTCAAACTGTTTCAGCTGTTCCTCAGCATTTTAAAAGGTGTACTATAAAACCTTTGTGTCAAACAGCTTCATCATACTGTACATATTCTGACAAAGAGGAAAATAATTTTTAAGTAAAGTCAGAGTGCCTCGAACATGCTCCTCTTTTTCCCATGGATCCTTCAATCTATATTTTGTATATCCCTGTATGCACTCACTTGAATTTTTTCTTGCTGAATTGTGTTCATTGGTTGCCTGGCCCTGGATTATAAAGCCCTAAACCAGTATTTTCAAAGTCTAACAATGTGTGTTTGTACAGGCATTTGTTCCCCGTGTGCTGGGAATGTACCTGCTCGCTGCTCTGGCCCTGGTCTTCTACGTATCTAAAGTACCAGAGAGATACTTCCCAGGTTAGTGCTCTGTAAACCCACCTCACGTGCATGAAGTGGTATCGTCCTAACTGTGTGTACCTTTCTAAAGGCCAGCTGAACTATGTGGGCTCCAGTCACCAGCTGTGGCACTTGCTGCTGGTGCTCATGTTCTACTGGTGGCACCAGTCGTCAGGCTTCATCATGGCCCACAGACACAGCCAGCCCTGCAGCCCGCCCGAGGCCCCGGCTCCTGGGTAAAGGAGAGGTGAGAGCGCCATCTACAAATCTGAACAATATTAGTTTGGCCTTTCATGTTATAGAAGTGTTGTTCTATGTTTTAACATTTAACTGGAGAAAACTTATTTTAGAAGCAATAGTTTAAGGATGTGGTTTGGAAGGTTTAGAATTTTGCAGCGTGAACATTCACTTTGGACCCAACCTCCCCCTGATGTAAGGGATTTTCAGCAGACTCATTCCTTCTCCATGTCCTCACATAAGCCTAATGAAAAATCCAAAGTTCGATGCATTTGTGTTAAAGTCCTTTTTTTTTTTTAAGAAGTAAAGTTGATTTGGTTGCGCGATGTCATGTGTGAGTTGGTACAGTATCAGTGTGGCTATACTGGCATGTGAAAGTCAGACCGTTGAAGCTAAGTAGGGCCTGGTTGTGTCTTTAGGCGAGACACTTGCTTAAGTCGGGTGTGTGAAAATGGTACGTGGTCAGAGGGACTGATGGTTGCCTCGCTTCTGTCCCAGGGCAGCCGTGGCTACAGTAGTAGTTTATCACTACCATGTATGGAGTGAATTAATGACATGGGAAGTGTATTTCAGTGTCCAAAAAGTGCTCAATAAAACCAAAGCATTATCACCTTGTTCAAGTGATGGGTGTTAAGTTCTAGAACTCTGATCTACTTCCTGTAAATGTACATTATTATTTCTACAAACTGATCCTGATGTGTGTGTTGCAGCTGCCTGGTCATATGACTCCATGACCATGAGGAAGCAGCAGAGCTGGATCTCTGCTCCTCTTCCTCCACTTGCACCACTGAGTCTGCACAGTATGGAAGACCTTCTTGATTGTTCTGCATAAAAATTGGTCATTTTTTTTAGAAATAACTACAAGATCAAATTGGAATCAAACATCTGAGAAAAATATAAAGGTGTGTGATCCATGTCAAATTATATTTATAAACAGTTTTCCAGGTTTAGTTGGTCAAAAGGCTTTGACCTGATGTGTTTCATAGTAGTTTCCACTGCTACAGACTAAAGTGCCTGAGGATCAAAGACATACCAAATTAGTCTAAGGTAATTTTAGCCAAATGCAGCCTCAACCCAAGAAATAGGTTAGTGCGAGACACATGTCCCACTATAAAACAATTGATCAGACCTATGTTCTGAACTTCAACCTTTGTGCTGTAAAACCAACGTGACCGAAATGTGTTTCAAATAGGATTACCTAATCAATTCCTACAAAAGGGAATGGCTTAGGCATCTACCATTCAACTTATGTGAAAAATACAAACCAAAGGTTTTTTAAGATCAACGTAGCAGCATTGCCGCTCGGACAATTTATTTTTGTGGGGAACTTGGCAGTATTTCTAATTGACATTTAAGCAATCTAAATGCACGAGCTGCTACTGTATCTGTAAATAATTAGGGTTTTTGGTCATTTCAGTGTTAGTAATTACATAGTTTGCTAGATAACTATGTATCTCAAATGGCTTGGGACTTTTTGTGCTAAAGCTCCAAATAGAGGAATGCAGTGGTCTCTTTTTAACTTATTGTATGTAAATATTGTTACCAAATGTAGTTTTTTTTGTACATTAGAACTGTGTATGGCGGGCGGTTAAATAAAGTGAACACTGGTAATAATTCTCAGTCTCCTCACTTTGCTGTTGAATGATTCTGCTGCTCATTCATTCCATTTGTCGTGTTAAACAGCTGTTATTCATTGTATTTGATCTGCAAATTTTAATCACATGCTTCAACAGGAGAAGCAGAGAGACATTAGACTACCCAATTGGCCTGCAACAATAAAAAGCAATACATTTTGACTAACAAGAAAGACCAAGAGTTAAGATTGTGTCTGCTTTGAGCCATGAACAGTAAAACAGACACTGCTCATCACTCCCAGGATCAAACATGGGTAGCATCATCATGTCAAGGGGCTTTTCTTCAGCAGGGACAGTGAAAAGGGTCAGTTGATGTTTGCTATATGATTACTTGTGCAAACCATAGACTAAATATTTACAGACATAGTCATGCCTATCTCTGCCGTTGAAACTAATGAGCCATCACCTTTTCCATGGGCTTTTTCAAAATGGCCGCAGGGCAAGAAAATGGGAAAAAAGCATGGATCTATTATAAACGCATTCGTGCATGCCATGATACACATCAGGAACGTAGCGTTGGGCTAAGAGCCGACTGTTGGACCAACCTGTAAAGCAGTTTTAGAGGACAGAAGACACCATTCAAAAGCATTGGGTAATTCTCTTTCCGCGGCCACCCCCACTGGCCGGGAGTGAGATTGCAAGCATGTCAGCGCACGTGCTCATGGACTTATTGGAGCCGGGACCTGTCCCCACTATTGCAAGAAAGTTTAAAGTCAATAAAATTTGAGTCCCAAAAATATATTGTAGCAAGCAATTGTGATAAGCCTAGCTTCAAATTAATTCAACAACAAAAAATACTGACCAAAATGAGACAATCTTTTCCAACTGGACCAGCTGAACATGCCATAAACTTGATTATAGAACTGTGATAAACAATTAGACTTTAAAATACATTTTGCCAAAGTGATTCCCCTGGAGAAAATGTTAATAGACTCTTGGGTTTGATTAATAACACCGTACTTTGTAAACACATTTACATTTAAGTCTTAAAACCTCTTAACCATGTCTAAGTCTACGTAGGGTAAAAAAATAATAACTTCACAATGATGGAAAAATACATCATGGCTAAAAGATGTGATGTGCCTTTGTGTTTTATTTAAACTCTTAACAATGTGTTGAGTTTATACAAGAATCATACAGACACAGCGATGCTACCTCAAACTCCGACAATCTTTGAACGATCCCTTCTGATTCAGCGAGATTAAAACACGTGTGGATAATGCATAGAGTCAATTCCCATCAAAACAAAGAAGTGGTTCTTTTTTAGCTTCCCCCCAAAGTTTTGAGATTTGACGGATGAGGAAGTGCGTCACAGTTTAAGGCGTCGTGGTGCGAAACACAAACAAGGGCAAAAAGCGAAGAAATGCACAGGTTTTCAGTCACTTTTTAAATAGATGTAACGTGGTGTGTTTTGGAATATTAATCAAGGCAGATTTGATCAAAACATGGCCCAACATTTCAAAATGATTAAATTAAGCCCCATCATAAACAGTCCAAAACTAACAGTGCATCAATAATTAAATTTTCACAAGCACCGAAAATGCAGCATGGGGGGCAGGAGTCCTTACCGAAACATTTAACAAGTCATCTCCACAGGATTGCATTAAAAAGGTCATTAAAAAGCAACACAGGCGGTCAATCCAAGTAGAAAAACATTTGGAGAAGGGAAGACGCGTTTTGCCTGTTGGAAAATTTTACTGTTTTGAGGGAAACGGAGCAGCTCCAAATGGGTCTAACTCTACAGGCTTCTGCTGCTGCTGCTGCTGCTTCTGCTGCTGCGGTGGTACAAACTCAGCAAACGGCACTGCCCCAAAATCATCAATAATTTCTGCGCTCCACGACTTTTCCGACTTCCCTTCACCAAGACTGGGATGGAAAGGCTTGGCGCCAAAGGGATCCAAAATGGCGTCTTCAACAGCGGTGGCTTTCCCGTCGCCGTCCGCCATCGTGACATCAACGCTGATATTCTCCTTCGAGTCGGACGTGCTCAGAAACTCGTTGCTGCTTTGCGAATCCCTTCTTCCGACTTTTTTGTGCCTCCGGACTTTCTCTGGCGTTCGGTACGTTGGTTTGTTGGTTTTACGCACTCCCGTTGGCGTTCCGTGATGCCTTTTCCCGTTGCTACCGCCGCTACTCGGATCCTGCTTGGTTTTTCTCTGCCTCGAAGACAGCTTCTGGAGGCTGCGTTGTTTTAAACGCTGCTCCTGCGGACTCGAGTCGTCGCAAGTTTGACGTAAAAAAATATCCTCTGCGCTTCTGGACGTGGTCGGAAGCGTAGGTGCGTTGCATCCCATCTGGAAAGGCGAAAATCCAAAGATATCGATCCCGCCTTCAGGAGAGATCGGCGGAGATTGACCCATGGGATGTATCCCGGATTTGGACAAATTACGGCTAAACGGTGCTTTGGTGAACACGTCAAAATCGTCTTTGTGGCTCGTTTGGCGGAAAGGCGCTTGTGAAAAAATATCCGACGTGCTGTGCGTCAATCCGACTGGAAAAGGCACCGCTCCGAACACGTCCACAAGCTTGTCTGACTTGCCGGACAATATTTCCGCCATCTCCCCAGGCGATTGTGGAGGGGTCATCAAACTCACCCCGGCTGGACTCGCCGTCACAGGTTTGGAGTTTTTCTTTGTACGAGTCTTGACTTTGTTTGTGTCGCAGTCTGAGTCTGAGCTGTGTTCTTCCTCAGACTCCATCAGTAGGGGGCGCTGGCCAAGGTTCTCAGGTTCAGTGTCATCTCCATGTTCGCTGTTCAGAGCTTCCTCCTCCTCCACCTTGGGTTGGAAAAAGATCCAAAATCAAAAGAGACAAGATTTAGAGCTATATTTTCAATGTACACGTATGGGCTTTATGACATTACATGAAGATTTTTTTTTTGCTCATGTCCTTGGCTAAACATTCTTGCTTTAAAAAAAAAAATAGCAAGACATTTAAAACATTTTCAAACTAAAAAGAATGAAGTAAACAAACTTCAACTAAAGCTGGGGTGCCCAACATGATGTATAAATATATTCCTTGTAGTTTGCTCGTCCTCAGCTGACGGGGAACCTATAGATTTCACAAAGGTCTTACTTTGTGGGGATTCCTCGTCTCTGGTACGGAGGAAGTAGAGCCACTGCGCAACTAATACGCAAGATCGGGAGAACCAGAGCTTGCCAAAGATTTGTCACTTCCACTAATCTGGTTAGGTCGTCCATGGTGCGAGCTTGAGCCAATGAGCACACAGTTGATTTGAATGGACAGACATCTTGGAAACCCGGGGCTTGATTTACACTAATAGGCTCTCATAGGCATTGCTATTTTGGCTCTATGATACAAAAATAGTATCTGAAATGGTAGAATTTTAAGGGAGGAACTCGTTAGGGAATAACTAAATCTAATAAACTCTAGAAACATGTGCTATGCTACCTCGGCCTCTTCATCTTCGCTGCTTTTGGGTGAAGGTGGATCTGATTCGAAGTCGCTGTCGGACTCGCCGCCAGTCCTGGATCCGCACTTTCGGCCTGACTTGTGATCCTTGGCGCCCTCTAAAGGCTGGACTGAGACAGCAGGAGGAATGGGCTCTTCTGGGGCTGGATCTGGACTGTTCACGGCATCACCTGATAAGAAAAATGTTTTCAGAATACACACTTCTGTTGTAGAGCTCTAACTTGTATAAACTGATTATACAAAACATTTATTGTTGTGTGCTGGCAGCAGGTGAGCTGATGGATGTGCAGCACCATTCTGCATCCAAAAGACAGTGGGTTCCAGGTCAAACAGCTACTGTACATGATGATACACATACAGATGACGTTACAAATGTCAGACTCGTGATTAGTTAAGAATGCGGAAAGGACTGCTATCGCAAAGGATGACTTTGTTTATCAAATATCTATAGATAGACAGCAGTAAAGAAATACCTATTTAACAGTGCATTTCTCCTCAGGGAAGAGCGACAGGCGAAGGGTTTGTTTACCTTGTATATGTATACATTCACTAAATTAAAACTATCTTTATAACTTTGGGACATTTTCTGTGTCTTTATGTAGTTTATTTCTATGTCAGTGTTTTTATTATCTACTCCATTTCAAAATGAAAAGACAATTTAGGAGAAGAGCAATCGCTTGTGACCATAGCAACATACTGTTAACTTTCTAGCTTTTCAACAAACTTTGTTTCCATCTTTGAAAAGGTGAGTAAAGGTAAACTGAACATAACTGATGGTAAACTCACTAACCGTTTAGAATTCCATTGAATAGAAAGTGAGCAGTTAAAATGACTGCCTTGGGAGTTCTGATGTTAATAAACTACACTTTGATTTGAATACAGCTCTGGGTTGGCATTTTATTTGACTATTTACTCTTTATAAAATTCCACAAGACTTTGCTTAGAAGTTCAGAAGGGAAAGAATCTATTCCATGACCTTGAAAAGTTTAAATGCATCAGTTTCTAGGCGACACTTTACCCAAACATGAATATGGAAGTCTATCGATATTGCAGAAGCACACCAAATCCTATGCGTCACAGCTAAGCTTCAAAAGTAAAAAAAAAAAAAAACTCTTTTCAAACCACTTCTTTGAATTTGTTTTTCAAATACACTGATGACTTTAAAATGTTTTTATGTCAGAACAATGAACCGTAATCCAAGCGCATAAATGGTACTAGTTACTATGCTATATTGTTCCCTGTATTCTGTTCTAAAATGAGCAGAGTATTGATTCATATTCCGATTTGATACTTTAACTGCAGCATTAACATATCTTTGTATAAATGATAGAAAATGTCCCAATCGCCCCGACTGGATTATCACTGGATTATTACCAACACGTGGCCTTAATGTTATGGATCTGAAAATGGCTTTAAGATCATCTATTTAATCCCACACATAAATTGCATTATTCTTTAGAACTTCCCGAGTCTTCTCTCAGACATTGAAATCTGGATTAAGAAATATGAAAGCCGTTTCATTTCAACGTAATCCCAGCAGTTTGTTTGATATTGGAGCAGAAGGAACAGTCAAGGAACTCAATATGCTCCAAAGAAATCAGATTTAGGATAAAAGAAGGGAGGATTATTCTGGACTTTGAAGAAGTCCATTACTAAAGAAATATTACTTTTGTTTTTCTAATCTCCATCTGCGTGTGCCACTTTCACCACAATTACATGAACCTAATCCGCATGTGGGGGTTTGAGGTTAGAGAGTCTAAAGTATGTCTGAAGTAGAAGAAATAGAACTGAAATATTAACAATAGAAATATCAATTTCAAAATGATGCCGAAGATAACATGGACTTCTCCAATCTACAACAAACCTCACACTTTTGCAGCTACCCAGCTTCGGTGAGGACCAGAGCTGGAGGAGTTTTCCTCCTGTTCATAATTTTAGCGGTGGAGAAAACTGAGCACCCAGAGGAAACGTACGGAGATGTGGGGAGAACACTCAGAAGGCCTTTTCCCAACACAGATTTGAAGTGAGTGCTAAGCCACCAACTGTCACTATAATTAGACTTGATAATACCCATGGATTACTAAAAATATTGATTGAGTTGAAAAAAAAAAAAACTAATTACATATTTGTAATGTTTAAACATGACTGATTTTCCAATTCAAGATATTTGTTTTAATGCTTTGATTCTCATTTGATCTGTTCTTGTAAAGTTATTTGAATTGTGCCTTGTAATAATTGTCCTACACAAAAAAACTGACAATTGGATGTAAATAGAGTTTGAGAAAAATAATGTACAGATAATAGTTGGTTGGTCACTGTACAGATATAATCTGATACAAATATATTTGAACTCAATATACTGTAGATCTGGTGCACCTTTAAATATAATTTGCTGTGGTTTTTAAAGTCAAAGGGAAATATTAACGGCTTATTAACCGAGCGCGAGGTCTGTATGGAGAAATAGACCGCGGCCTTAATGTACAGTGCAAAAAGGCCAAGGTCTGATATTTCTCTGCACAGACCGAGCAAGCGAGGTTAATAAATGTTTTAGACTCTCGTCTGTGTCTTTACCAATGCTTTTGAGATATTTGTGAAGTATGTTCATGTCCGACTTGGGTTTTGTGTGATACGCGCTGCGGACAGATTGTCATGGTAACGGTCCGAGGAAAGATATCAAATGTGATACGCGTTGTTCGGACCAATTGTCATGGTAACGATCTGAGATGGGAAATCAGGCCGGTAATCAGCCAATCAGAGGGCACGTACGGTCCAAGTCATAATAATCAGTTTGTATTGTGTTGGAGATGGGCTGCATACACACTGGTGGGCTTTGAAAACTATGTTATAATAGTTAAACCTTCTGTTGTGCACATTTTAAAAACATATCTAACCTGATATAGCTTTAAATACTGGGATGGAATGCTTTAAAACACATTTTTTGAGCATACTGATGTCACTCTCATGGAGATAACAGAGACGGAGATGAAACGGACATGTTTGGACGGATCTGTCGTCCGTTTTACGCGCCCGGTGGAGTCGGGGCCTAAAAGTCAAACTTTATATTCTACAAAGAAGGAACATTAATCTATTCATATATGTATTCTAGATTATATACATTTTAAACATTCTAAATCTGCATCACAAAAACCAGTCAACACAGTTACTTTGAACAATGTTCAGGGCCACCTGCATGTGAAATGACCTCAGAAGCTAAGCAGGCAGTACCTGGTTAGTACTGTGATGGGTGGCTACAGCAGTAAACTAAACTTTTGTTGTTTCTAAGACTAGCCGTCAGGCTGTGGCTTACCACCAATATGTGTGTCAGACATGGCTCAGTAGTTGCTGGAAAAGATCGTTGTTTGATAAAATGTGAGCACCGCTGATGCTTGAAGATCCATTGCTCCAGCAATCCCTTTACATGAAATTAAAAAAACCTGATCTCTACACTGCAGTCACTGGAATGCAGTGTAGAGATCAGGTTCAGGCGTTTCGAATCAATACTTAAAGATTTCTGTTCTGTCTGATACAGGGAGAGAAGTGGATGGGATTAAGAAAAAGATATTGAAAAAAACAAATTATGCTGTATAATACTGTACATTCTACACCAACGCCATCGTCTGTCCTCATCCCACTGCCATGATTAGTTTTCCTCTTTTTGCAGCATTTCAAAGCCAGCCATCTCAAACATCTTGCTCAATGTGTTTGGTGGATAATCTACATTTGAATAAAGTCAATATGAAACGGTAAAGTCATTTCAAAAGGCATTTTTATTTGTGAATAACATTGGATAAGAAAGACATTCACACGCAGGATACACATCTTTGTACAGTTATTCGAAGAAAACAAAGATCATTGACCTATAGGTTTAAGAATGAGATTTTAAATTAAAGTAATGTATGTCGATAAAAATGCTCACAAAATGGTAGAAAGGCCATTAATTATATTCAAAAGTGGACACAAGAAATAGGGGAAAGATTTTTTTTTTAAATTACTATTATACAGGGCAGAATACGTAGGCAAACAACTAACAGTCTCTAAATAAATGAATAAATAAATGTGTAAAGTATAATGGTTTAAAGCCTAACTTTTACATTTTTTTTTCTAATCAGAGGTATACAAGTTTTAATTTTCGGATCAATTCAAACTAGAAATCTTTACATAGCTGGGTTTCAGAGCCTTTTGATAGATGACTATTGAAACAATACAATATTGCCAGACAAAAACGCAGCATGAAAGAATAGTACCTTTTTGAATAATAAAAAGTCCACTTTTTGAATAATCTATGGTCTTTCTATGAAAACATAAAATGGCTTTGAGCAGAGAATGCTCAAATGTAAACAAAACAAAAAAACGTGGATTCTTCTCCACAAATTCTGAATCCAAAACTTCACATGTTGCACTTTCCAAAATCAGTGGTAAAGTGCAAGTATTTGGTCTTAAAATAAATCAAAAACGTAACGTATCATTGTCGTTCATAACAAACTCCACCCACCGTAAACACATGAACAAGATGTTTATGGCTGTCTCACATGGGAAATAATGAAGCTGATTGTTCAAAAAGCAGTGAAATGAGGAGAAACATGGCAAAAGTAGACTTACCTTAGTCTATTTATACTATTGACAATATTACTACAACATTTGCACAAAAGAAGTTTGGCTTTATGAAAAGATGGGTCGTCTCTCGTCTGTTGCTTTAAGCAGCAACAAAAAACTACTTCAGACCGCAGGAATTTGCAAATAGTTTTTCTCCAATTTAAGTAACACTGTAGAACGTTACAGTTGAAGTTCGTCAAGCTAAAGTCGTATTGGGATCAATTTAGGTGTGCACACAACTCAATTTATGTTTTTAAGGTTTTAATGTTTCCACTTCTGTTTTGTACAGCACTTTGAATTTCACTTTGAAAATAAACTTTTGTGAGCTCTTGTCCCGAGAGCTTTTTCCACCATTCTAAAACGATGCCACACCTAAAAGATGTAATACACAGCTGTCAGTTTTGCAAGACAGTTTTGAAGTACACCTTTTCTTAACCTGAGTCGGGTCTGCAGACTCGTCAAAACACACCAGTGACAATGTAAATCAAGAGAATTCAACTCAACTCTGTGGTTGCAGGTTTTTGTTCCAACAAAGCAGGTGGACACCATGTCATCAGACTGGTCCTGCTCAGGGAGCGAGTTGAATACCCCTGCCTGATGTGATTTTTTTGTCAATTGATGCAAATAACGTTCCACCTCAGCGCACCAGTATAAGAGCTTTATTGTCCACAAACAGACGTATTTTTGTGGAGACAAGTGTGGATTTAAAAGCAGGTCTGAAGGAGTCTGGAGAGACACTGGAGCATACAGCCCTTCAGGAAAGTAGAAAGTACTAAAGACTGCAGTCAGTGGGGTCCAATGGAAACGAAGGCTGCTCAAAAACAGCTCTGCGGTCGTGACATATGAACGCTTTGCAGTTCTGATCCATAAAAGAAGATATTTTTGGGTGGACATTGTGTGTCACACAAAAGCCACATTCATCCTGAAATGAGTTGTCCCTCTGCATTTAACCATTTATACATTTTGTTCTTCAGTTTGATCTGTGATTATATTTGGCACAGATTAGTACCCACTGCTTTGTTGCCACTTTGATTAGAGGCAGAATTACGAAAGCAGAAATGCATGTGTATAACTGGGTAAGTATTTTTTATTCATACAGCGCATTTTACAGACCAAGGTCAACCGAATTGTTCAGAATTGAGATATTTTTTAAATCAGAACAAATAAGCCAATATTTGCAAGTTTTATCATTTTTCAAATTAGCCTTAAATCCATCCATCCATCCATTTTCTACCCCTTAATCCATTTCTGGGTCGGGGGGGTGGCAGTCAGAGATGCCACCCAAGTCTCATAGCACCAGCCCCTTAAATCCCAATTGAACTATTTAGCAAACTAAAAACCACAATACGTCTTCTTTAAATATCTGTCTTGTTTAGAGTCTTGAACTTGTGAAGTTAATTTGCTGCGATTTGAAGCATTTTACGTTGAACTCCACTGACTGATGATAATTTTCTAATATCAGCCCACTCTCCCACAATGCAATACAATTAATACAAAAATCCCTTTAAATAGGTTTGGCTTCAACATTTTGGTACGTACACTTGTTCTAAACTACAATAATGGCATACATTCAAAAGGCTCGTATTGCATTGGTCACCGCCTGTTACACTGGAAAATTGTTAGTCTACAAGAGATAACGGCACATTACGATTTAGAAATTCTTCAGCTCAGATTTGCTTATTCTGCTTAATGTTGATATAATATTTCAAGCAAGACTTTCCATTAGTAAAAAATACACAAGTCATAAGATAAGTTGTTTTCTCTCATGTAGAAGCTCATTTTTGCCGTGAAATATCAGGCTTTATGGATGATCATTGTTGAGTCTACAAAGAAGCACATAGAAAACTTCACATTGAAGGAGCAGAGGAGGACGCAGGCACATCGCTTATTGCTGCCAAAAGTCACTTTTTTTTTTTTTACAGCATCTCAATGAGAGCAGTATGGGCCTCTGCTCGGCTCAGGGCACACAACACTGACTCTGGTCTAAATGTTTCTACACTTTCTCCCCCCATACCACCGAGAGAGTAACAGACAGTTACAGACCCTAAACCGACCAGAATTGGTTCTGATGGCTGTATACGAGTCTACAAAAATTGCTGCAATATTCACTTGAGTGCAAATAATGAACGCCCATTTAAAGTGCACTTAAAATAAGACTTATTATAAGATTGCAACCTAAAATCAGCAATTAACCCTTTAGGAGCCCGAAGTCTCAAGATTGCTCCATGAGCTTCTTATGCAGCGCCCTGGGTTCCCACAAACATTAACCTACATTTATCTTACATCTTTTTATTAATTTCTGTTACTGATTTTTGTAGTTCTCCATCACTTATTAGGTTCCAGGCCTCCACCCTTTTTTTGTTTCATCACATTTATTAAAATAAATTTGATATGAAACATTGTTTTTTCATGCTAGTACCATAGACTGTCAAAGGGTGAAAACCCTTAACCCAAATTCATATAAAACATTTTTTTCTGTGGATGAGAAATCCTGCCATGATATCCACACTTGGGACTATTAGATGATGCTACTACTATTATTGACATGAAGATAAAAATGTATTTGAAAATCACTGAAACTGCAACGATTTGGCAAAATGACCAATTGAACACAAAACAAAAAATGAGCCATAATAAAACTAGCGTCCATCCAAATCTCATAGAAAACAACATGACCTAAACATGACAGAGCCGAGCAGAGGCCCCTATGAGCTGAGTGATCGTCCTCTGTAAAGTGCACAGGAAGAAGCCATTGTCATGAATACAATTGCATTGTCAGGATGTAAAGAGAGGGATTGTGTAAACGACAAGTTCAAGTTCTGCATGTAGAACTCTACCAAAGCACAACAGAGAGACGGGATTTAACAAGAACAAAAAAGGTTAAATTTGTCCACTTAGCCTTGTTTGAGCAGATCTGATCTAGCGCATTTGCAGTAGAATAAAACGCATTGATAGTTTAAATGCCATCTCTCTGCACATTTCTAAGAGCAAACATGGAATTGATAAATGTAGGTTAGGGAGTCTAGGAACTCTTATTGCTTTTCACACTGCTTTTTCCACTGTTTTAGCAAAAACTAAACAAAAAGAACTCGACTCATTGTAAAAACTAGAAAAAAAACACCCTGCAAGGCCAATGTAGAACCGTGCTGACTCCTACCAAAGTCAGATATGGATGCATTGGTCTTCAGCGTGCGATAAAGTTTGGTTCAACAATATAACAAAAGTTTGATTTTCATCATTTAAATAATCTTTTCTTTTTGAGCAGATTCCACCGGTCACATACCACCTGCAGTGGAACAAAGATATACAACACTTGCTGGACTAATAGCTGCACCTGTAAATAAAGGTTTTCATATTGTAAAACTTAAACAGCTGATGGAGCAAAACAAAGCCTTAAAACGGCCGCTTTAACTAGACAAAGCATGATTTAATGCACTGTTGACTGATCAAAGCTCTCTGGTAAATCCAGTCTACTTTGACCATAAACATGCTGCCCATCAATACTAGTACTTGATTTGAGTCGAAATAAAAAAACATACATTGGTGTCATATACGTCTATATAGGCCGTAAGATTCAAACTACTTTAAAAACGTAGCGACCTATAGTCCAGCAAGTACTGCATCTTATCTCACGCAACATGTGATTGTGACATGCGTGGTCTACTCAAATCCCGAATATAGTTTCACAATTGGAGAAGCATAATTTCCATGTAACCGTATACTTCCATGAGTGTAGAGTTTTTTTGCTTTTGTCAGGACAAAAGCAAATGTACCGTTTTCTATAGAATAAACCTTTTGACTGATATCCATTTAATTTGCCTGGATTTGTTTGATGTGGTCCTTTATATTTGGGGTGGGGGGGTGAAGGGGGCTCCTGGACTCTCCACAGTGATGATCCCAGGAGCAGACACACTAAGACTTGCCTGCGCTGGTCACAAATGGGACAGATCCAAACAGGTCTTCAGGCGGCAGTGAGATGGCCGTGCTCTTCTGCTGTTGCTGATGCTGCTGTTGCTGCATCTCTGCACTGGGGCTGCGCTCCACTGGTTTATCTGTGGAAAACAAGCATTATTCACGTTTTATCTTTGAGCTTAGTCAGGCCAACGCTGCAGATTAAATTATTCACTTTTCTCTTTAACTCTTTATATGATGACTTTAGGTGCCTTTTTTGTTGAGGTATAAATGTCTTGCTACATTGAGAACTCTTTAGTGTAGGGATGCACCAATACCACTTTTTTCAAAACCAATACGAGTACAAGTACCTTAATTTGTGTACTTGCCGATACGTACTGCATTGTGTTATCCCGGGAATTCATGAAACTATTTCAACAGAAATTTTAAATGTTTTATTTCTCATTTCAACAAAAAGAAAATGCTTTAACAATTAAACATTTTGGCAATTGTTTCAACAGTCAACAAGAAGAGCCACTGTCATATTCCACTAATACAAATAGTACAAATAGCTCTGGTGCTAGCAAAGGTGGTGAGTTTTTATCAAGTTGCTGGTGTTATATGTGTTTGTTTTGGATCCACCTCGTGACGGTTTTGCCTTACACAACGTACAGTCCACTTTACTCTTGTCACTCGTTTACTTTAAAAACTGACACGTTTTGTGTAAAGTTTTGATTAACTAGTCAACTGCTACTGTGTGACAACAGTCCTCTTGTCGAGTTGAGCTGCCGCATACATAATTTTACTGACGTAGGCCGATGAGGCGTCCTGTGGCTAACTGGACAGCTAACAGACTATTAGACAACCCGACTGTTCTGTCGGGTTGATAATGGAAATAATAACCATAATCTAAGTTGTAAGCAATTAGCTTACAAGTTACAAGAGAACAAGTCTATGGTATTGGTGCATCAATAGTTAAAGGTGTATAGGAGGATTTTCCCAGGTTTTAGGAAAGAACCGCCCTCTCCACTTTTCAAACCAAACTCTCTGGTCTTATTGGACGAGCACGTGTCACCAGAATGATTGACAGTTGGGAGGACCAATAGTCTTAATGATCCACCCGGAAGTAGAAAATCCTCCTATATACCTTTAAGTGCCAATTCGTGTGGCCACACAAATTAATGTGCGTCTAGCAGTGTGTGAATTGGAAGTGGGCAGTAGTTTGGTCTCTTACTTGCTCTGAGCAGGTCAAACTCCCGGTCCAGGAGGTCCTCCTCCGTGAGTTTAGAGAAGTTGTCTTCTCCAAAAGGGTTCCAGCGTGACATGTCGGGAGGATGGCTCACTGTGGCGGGTGAGTCTGAGGACAGCCGCTGGTTCCTACTCAACACACAAGAGGATTCAGGTGAAAATGATACAAGGATGACCAGTCTGGTGACGTTTTGGTTTTACTCATATCCATCACATTCTCTGGGGGAAGCCTGTTGATTTTACTTTAACCCTTCAGCCCAAGGCACATGATTTTTTTGGTAGATTGTGCAACTAAACTGATGCTGTTCACTGGAAGCTAGTTGCCATAGAGATGTCATTTCTTCTCTTGGAATGTACCTCAGTATTATGGCTGACAACACATTTTCTAAATTCAGCTTTTTATTGATTATTTGAATGTGGAGAATAATTTTGAGTTAAGATTCAAAAACATGTTAATGGGAGCTCACATTTCACTATTTTAGCCATAAATAAAAGTGAAACAAATGGTCTTACCTGGTATTACCAAGGGTGTCCATAGGTGACGGCCCTCCCATCTGCACTGTTGCCGTGGGGACAGCAGTGGGTGTTTTGGTGTTGTATGAACCCAGGGGCATCTGAAACTCCAGTGGTGACGGCGACAGGTAGGGGGCGCTGTGCTGAACGGTATGTGGAAGTGGCATGTGCTGCTGCGGCTGTACAAATGCCTGTTGATACTGGTGCAACTGTTCGGATGAAAGGGAACAGGGGTGAGGGGATGAAGGACGGACCATGATGATTTCAAGGATTCTGTGAGCTTGAGGATTCTATGATCTCATGATTTGTTGTGATTTGATGAACGTGGTTACGATTTCACAGCTGGATTTGGAACACCGGGGGTATTAAGGAAGAGAGGGTCAAGAGAATGAAAGTTAAAAAGACAACTTCTTTGCTTTTGGTTGAGGCAAAAAGTTTGAGTAAAACAATATAAATCTTTCAGTCAACAAAAAACAAGGATAAATGTATGTTATAGCATTAGTTTGAAAAGCAGTTTTAAACATTTACAGACTTTGGTTGTACTGCAACCATAACACCAATGCAGTAGCCCACTTTGTGCCAGCATCCAGGAGGAGACGGCAAAAGTCAAAATGAGAAACACAATTAAACTATTCAACTATTGAATTATAAAAGTATAAAATAGAGTTTAAAGCTGCATAACATCACTTTATTTTTGTATCAATCACAAAAATTCAATCCATATTTTCCATATTTTGAAGAAAAAGTAGCGCAGATTTGTGCTGGCGTGTCATTTTATTTTAGATCAAGTTTTTGTGCAACAAGGAGGAGAATTCGTTTCGGGACCAGATTGTGACCAATCACAGCGGACCACTGTTCCCCACTTTCTTGAGAAAGCTACAGGTCTCTCGTTTGCACAAACAGCTGAGGTAAACAAGCGGCGGATGTTAATCTGAAACTTCCCGTGTCTTCGTTACCGGTTACCGCTTACACAGCGAAACAGCCATCCAAAAAGTCTCGTTCCTCCACGCTTCCCGGTTCTATCATTCTATGGTCACGCCATCCACGTTCAAATGTGCGATCCATATTGTGAGACGTGAGCTCCGTAAACACATAAGCACAGGCCGAGTTGGGGGGAGGGGTGGGGGTAGTGGGGGGGCAATAGCGCTCACATTCAAAAATATCACAAAGTGAGTTAGTGCAGCTTTAACTTTTTAGTGGTGGTGCTGGTTAAACATTGGATTAACGTTGGTATTTTAGTGTGGACCTAGCGTCTAAAAAAGGAAAGGATGAGTTGTTGCAAAACCCCAATTGAGTAGAGTTTCAATGATCTACTAGTTGGCGAATTCAACGGTTGTGTAAAAGAATAAATTGAATTGAACTGAATTACTAGTTAACTTGTTACAGCTCTTTTTCGAAATGCAATACGTCTAAATCCAATTTTCTGAACTTGAATACATCACTGCCCATCCGTCGATAATGTTACTGTCACTGTACTGAGTAGTAGTACACAACAGCTACCAATGGCCACAACAAATCCACAATTTTCCTAACATGATTGCAGCCTCGCTGATGGCTCCTATGTGTCGTGTGGCAGTCTAGAGGGACCAAGCACATTTTCATATGCCTTCACCCCGTGTTCAATCCCTGGGGGCGGCTCTCGGACCAGATTGCCTTTGAAACAAAAACAGATGGTACGGTTTCAGAGGGAACAGTGGAGAAATGCCTCCGCCCCGGCAGAGCGCGCAGGGATCACGGCGCTTTGGTCGCTTTTAAATGCCGTAAACACGAGTTGTGCAAAGATTTGGAAAAAGGACGAGGCGTGTAGGAAGTTCTAGCGTCTGTTTAAGTCACATTTTTTGGCACGCAGCGGAAAATATTTTTGACAGAGAGGACTTTGCCAGTGTTTTGAAGAGAGCACATTGAAGTAGGGTTTAGTAGCACGCGCTAGTAACGCCATGCTGCGCCGCCATGTGCTGCTGTCGTTTGATAATCATGTTGGAGCCGTTCTTCAACTGTTGAACGCTGCTGAGATCACAGGGACCGTAAGTGAGTCAAAGACACGGTGCATAACGTTACAGGAAACATTCTCATTATAGATGTATTTATTTTAGATCTTATCTTAAATATAGAAATAGCAGATTTAAGTAAAAGATTGCTTGGGCACGAGTCAAATGTCAGTATGAACAGTGAATTTTTTTTAACTTTATTCACATTCTGTACAGCTCTTTGGTTAGCCTAGGCTGTTTTTAATGTGCTCTACAATATAAAGATTGATTGATTATGTAAAAACGCAATTGTTATTGAGTGAAAATGTATTAAATCATTCCACGCTGTTCCGTTCTGAGAACTAGTCACTTTACTTGCTGCTATTACTATTACTGTTGTTTATTCTGGTCATATTCTCTGCTCCTAAAGTACAAAAAAAATATCTTCAGTGTATACTCCATTAGTGACTTATCCTTGAACCAAGTGCAATTGTAGCTCCATAGATTTACTTTATTATAATTTTTCCATTTTATCATCTATCATCTTAAATAATAGATCCTGTTTGATGTGTGCAAACTGAGTCCTCTTTTCTCCTTTTATTCTGCTGTAATGTGCGCAACGATAACATTGAAATGTCCACTGAGGGACGAATACACGTTCATCTTATCTGATCTATCTTACTCTTGGTGTAAATGATGAGATAACATGCACAATATCCATTTTGTTCACACATGTGCAGTATATTGTCATGTGTCTAGTATGTAATGAAAACCTGAGATCTGTGGCCAAAACTTTTCAAATTATCAACTTGCAAAAAGAACAGATTATCTGTTATATTTCCTGTGTTGTAAACTTTGACACCAGCTCTCGTGACACTCACCATCGCAGCGTACTGAGCCTGGGCCACATGCTGTTGGTATAAGGCCGGCTGCATCATCATCATCTGCTGCTGCTGTAGTAACATCTGCTGCTGAAGGGCCTGTTGGTGCTGCACACACAGCCCACCGTTATCCAACATCAAAGGGACCAACACTTCAAAGCAATAGTTTGAAAAAAGTCAAATTCATACAGCATATAGGCTTAGAGGTAATAGATGGAAGTGTGGGATTGGGTTTGCATTGGGCAATTTAATTCATGAACGTTATATTTTACTAAGTTGTTCTGTAGTAGTCAGGAGAAAAAAAATGAAAAATTTTTCACAAATCACCACATTGTATGGACGTCTACCAATCAGGAGTCCGACGCTATGAGATTTCTGAATCGTTTAAGAATGCATGTGTATGAACGTATGAATGTCAATGTGCGCAGTAGAATGTAATCACCTGTAGATAAAGTTGCTGCTGTGCATTCGCCTGCTGTAGTTGCAGAGGCTGCTGTCCGCTCAGTGGTGGCGGCTGTGGTGAGGTCTGCTGCTGCTGCAGCTGCTGCAGTCTCAGGTCTCCAGGCTGAAGTTGTTGAAGAACTCTGTGATGTTGGCTGTTGCTGCTCTGAGCGACCACAGGGGGAGCTGCGGAGCTGGGTGTCGGCGCTGCATGGACACAAAGAACATGCAATTCAACTAAAAGATAACGTTTTAGTGACGTCTCTGATTACATAACAATTACAAATCTTTGAACTATTGAACAAGGCTGTGTCCGAGGAATTTTAAAGCAGGGATTCTGATTGTCAAACAGCACTTTAATCATTATCCCTGGAATCTATTGTTAAAAGTAATTATGAAGGTGCATTATCTAAACATTTTGCTGAGGTGGCTGCCTCTACCTCAATCAATTTTTTCGTGTGTTCAAACAGTTAAATTGAACTTGCTACCTCACTGTTCATAAAGTCTTATGATCACACTTCCACTCTAGCACACATTGGAACAGTCTCCATACATCCACCATCACTAAATTAATCTGGAAGGTCAGACAACGATGCCTTAAATTATCCACAGTGCCTTCACAGACCTTCACTTAAAACTTATATCATTGTGATTGGTTCAATAGTTCAGTTGAAGTGGCTGGCTTTATTAACAGCGAAAGCAAATGTGCATCTAATGGGTTTGACTGAGGGATCATTTACCAACACCACCTTATAAATGCAGTGTCCAATTAGGTGCAAAAGTGACGCATTGCATTGCAGTCTGGCGTTCTCTTACTGATATGAGAGTGGCATGAGTTTGTATGTGCATGCAAAGTATCCCCTCAGTTTTTGACATGTACAGGTGACACATCATACATTATGCACATCACCGGTTTTATAGAATCAAAATGTGCGTGAAAGTGTTGAATAAGTCACTATTGAAGCTGTAATATGTTTACACCTTCGACAAAGATTTTTATATGTTTCAGAATGCTCATCATCATCATCATCAGAATTGTAATGTGTTTGTCAATGTGCTAATTCCAAAAGTCTAAGTTATGACAGTGCTGGTTCATATACAAGATTTAAAAGCCAGCCTACGCCTGTCTGTCAGAGATATCAGTGATATATGTGAACCTTTGTGTCCGTTGGCAGAAGGCACGCTCATCTTCACTGGAGTGACCGTGTTGCTGAGAGGAAGCACGTTACTGTTGGCCGCCTTCGGACGCTGTCTGGGAGCGATGGACGTCTCTGTCGGGCCCACAGAGTTCGTTATCCTAAAAGAACGATCATCAAACTTTACTTAAAAGCAAATGTACTACACATATTCAATAAAGCTTTTCTCCATGTTGTGTTATTTCAAACTCATTTACACACTTAAAGTTGCCTTTGATCATCAATGCAGGTTTGAGTAATCTTTATTCCTCAAATGGCACATTTTACCTCCACTAGAATGCCCAGAGTTCTCTACTTAAAATAATAATAATTTATCATTTATGTAACAGATATATACATAGGGGACAATCACTGAAATTAATGGGTTTCTTACTGTGTACTGTAACAAGATTCCCAAACCGTGCATTGCTTCACAATTTAACGCCAGCCTTACACTGGAATGAAAAAGGTATTCTAAATAAATATTCTCAGTTTAATACTCCGGGGCGACAGTATCTCAGTTGGTAGAGCATTGGCCTTAAGGCCAGAAGGTTGTGGGTTCAATTCCCACCTCTGCACCTTCACCGACTCCCACTGATGACTGCTGTCGTTGTGTCCTTGGGCAAGACACTTAACCCCACTTTGCCCAAAGCCCCCACTGAAAGATCAAGGCTATGCTCACACTCAGAGCAGCCGTCCTCCTGTGGACTCACCACCTGCAGAGGGTCAGTGAGGGGCTGGTGCTATGAGACTCGGGTGGCATCTCTGATTGCCACCCCCCTGACCCAGAAATGGATTAAAGGGTAGAAAATGGATGGATGGATGGATGGATACTCACAATCCATTGCCACTTACCAGGGGTAAGGGGTCTTGGCATTTGAATTTTTGATCCAAATGATGATGATTAATAACATGCATTTATTCACCAGAAATTAAAATGGATGGTAAAAAAAAAAAAAAAAAAAAAAAAAAAAAGAAAAGAGTCTAGAATAAAGAGATAAAAAGTGAATGAACCAGTATCTACCTTGCTTTTGTCATGCTCTTTTTGGCTGCAATGTCGCTGGCTGTTAATGGCTCTGGTAAAGTTGTGGGGATGGGAGAGTTCTGGAAAGAAAGAAAAAACACCATTAATCCACTCAATATTTCATTCCAACAAAGGTAAATAAAAACCAGAAGGGCAAGAAAGAATAAGGAAGGAGACATTTTCTGTGTGAATTCAGATGTTGCCAATTCAGCAAACCAAAACACCTGTATTGACAATAAAAAACAAAAAATCTATTACACAACAAATCGATCTTAATATAAGATATCACAACAACAACGTTGAATAAAATAAAAACAATAAAACTAAATAGTGGCTGTAATCTACAAAATGGTTAATCTATACGTCCCGAATTCAAACAAGAGAAGCGCAACATTGACTTACAAATAGGTTGGGCACTGGACAGTCTTTTCCGGCCAACTTGAAGGCAAAGTACGAGACTTGGTAAATGTCTGGTCTCTTCTCCTGGTCTGGTTCAAGCATGTATCCTAAAAAACACAAACTATAATGAAGGTTCAATAAAACAATTTCTCATTGTTATAAAAAAATATATATAACAAATTCAGTTTAGTGTTGACTGTTCTCTTGTTCAGATGCAGTAATAAATGCAGTGATTGTCAGTGGCCAATAGATGGAGCTGCTGTTTAAGTTATGCAGCACCAGTAAAGGAAGACAGATGAAGTGAACCTGAATTGATAAAAAACATATCCCCTTATGCAGCACTTGGCATTCAAAAAAGGCACAGCTAATGTATAGTCATAACAACGGCTGCATTTTATTTATTGAACCAACACATTCAAACAACTCAGGTGTCAGAATAATGTGTAAAAGTGATTTGACGTGCAACTAAAATGCATTAAATCACTAATACACCTAATAAGTTCTGGTTAAGTTCTTACATTATGATGCATTGAGTTTTAACGTGTACTTGGATTGTTTAAGAACTACCACCAGGAAGGGACAGTGTTGCTTTAACAGGAGACAGTGTGAGCAGGACTTACTGATGAGTCGGTGCAGCTTGGCTGAGTATTTGGAGTTATCAGGAATGATAAAGGTCCCGTCACAAATGGCGACTTGACTTTCCCCAAAAGGAAGTGTGAAGAAACACAGCTTGAACAACAAACATCCCAAGGCCTGGACACAAAACACAGAAAGTGCAAGATATGAGCAGAGGGAGAGCAGCACTCACATACTGGTTTACAACTCCACTCCAATATTCTTCACACAATGAAAAGGGCTCAAAAAGGTTCACGGGAAGGCCATTAATAAATTGTAGTTTCCAAAAGCGACAACTAGAGTTTTTTTGTAAATCTATGCATATTGTAAAACTAAGACCAATAGTGAAACAGAATATTCTTTAAATTTTGTAATGCATTGACATGGTTTGGTACAAAAAAAATACTGTATTTTTCAGACTATAAGCCAAACCTCATATATGCCGCAGGCTCAAATTATTAGAAAGAAATTCAATTGTGTACAAGCCGCACCGGATAATAAGATGCACCTATCCCTCATTGTAATATTGAAAAATGTAGTTAAAAATGTGCATGTCTTTTTTAACGTGAGTAATGAGAAAAACAGTAAGTAGTGAGTTTGACTGTTCTTAAGCAGAAATGAGAGGAGCAACATCTACAAACTATTTGTTAAATGAGATATTTACACAAAGATATAAGTGAGGGCTTTTAAAATGTATTTAATTTGCTTGATTGACAAATCTTACAATTGAATTGGACAACTCATCAATTATGCTGGTCTACTGCACATCACTATAATAATAAATCGGTTTTATATAGTGCTTTTTTGAACACTCAAAGACACTCGTTATTCGTTATTCATTCACTCCATACACGGTGGAGATAAACTACTATTGTAGCCACAGCTGCCCTGGTGCACTCTGACAGAAGCGAGGCAACTAGTATGTGTCATCAGCCCTTCTGACCACCACCAACCATTCACACACACACCAGACTCATTCTAGGCAATGGGGGTGAAGTGTCTTGCCTAAGGACACAACAGCAGTTTGGCACTTTACAGCCGCCCCACTGTGGCATAAGGTGTTCCCAGAGGTTAAAGTGATTGTCTGGAGTTTGTCAGAAAGAGAGACAGAGAGGTACTTGATTTGAAAAAAACGAGGCAAGCTCCCTCCCCCTTCCTTTCTGATTGGTCTACACCTACGTTTCCGTAACACTTTGAAATGTTAATCAGAGAACACATTATACATATACATTATTAATACACATGCACGGAGGTTTTCAGAATTATTTGTGAACGTTTTAATTAAAAAAATAATGTTTTTATGCACACAAAAATCGATCGCAGCAAACCAGGAAGTGCTATTATTATGAATTGCACATTATAGGACACCGTAGATTCTGAACTATAGCTAAGAGCAGGGAAGGCGGGACTTGCCCGTAATATTAGAATTAATAAAATGACTTATTTCATATCAACATTTAAGGCCAGGAGGTCAATTTAACACATTTCCTAAAATTTGTAATTAATTTAGAGTTACAGACTATCACTTTAAGTGTCTTGCCAAGGGCACAACGACAGCAGACAGTGGGAGTCAATGGAGAAAGTTGACTGAGACTTCTAGTCCGAAAAAAATTGTACTTCATATTGCAAGCATAACACTCAATATCTTTGGACAGCAATTTTTGGTCAACAGTTTGATTATTGAATGGCTGTCAGACCATAATAAAATCAGTATATTTTCCATCACATCAACACCACGTCTCCCTGGTCATGGACGGATGCACGTGTCCATCCTCGACCCCAGCTCTATTTGACTTCTGTGCGGGATAAGTCAGAGCAGGAAGTGAGAACACAGGGGACATCAGCAGGAAACTGCGCTAATTGTCTGTGTCCTATTTAAAGGGTTCTCTGTGTGCGTTTGTGAGGGTCTGAGGACGTAAACCACCCTGCGGAGCCAGGAGCAGGATGTGAGCCATGTTTGGGCTTCCACCTGTTCTCGGACTGCCCACTAGTGACAAACAGAGCTGGAAAACTCTTCAATTACCCCAAGCCACATGAGACTGTTCGACCAAAGACACAGGGAGGAGTGCAAACTGTACTCCAACCGCTGTTACCGTTTTAGATAAACCTTCAATCTAAAAACAGTTTATATAGTTTTAATCCCGATCAGAAGGACATCCTCCTCTTTTGTTCTCTATTATTGGAATTAAAAATACAAAATAATAATTTTAAAAACGAATGATTAAAATATATTTGATTTATTTATATATAAAAATCATCCTTTGAAATTCAGAACTATTTTACTATATGTAATTGACTGTAAACATTTACATTATATAATTTATGTTAGCGTGTAGGAAGAGAACTAATCAAATACAGTTAGAAATTAATACTTATTTGCTTCCATGACACAGATGACATATACATTTCCTTACCCAGATATCAGCCTTGGTGGTAATTGCTTTTCCTGCATAAAGGTTGATCATCTCTGGAGCACGGTACGACAGAGTAGTGTATCTGAGGAGCACAAGGTAAACACAAATAAACACAATAAAGAGCTTGCGTTGCTTTTCACAACAACCTGGATTATGAATAAATATATTGCGCAACCCTCTACAACAGGCCTGTGAGCCGCATGCATCTCATGGGGCTTCCCCTAAATAGCAATTTAAAAAATCTTTTCCTCTAATCTGGTTAAATGGAGGAGCAAATATTTTTTAGACTGAAGAAAGCCAAAACTTAAGAAAATCAAATGTCAAGTTTTTGTGTAAAGCAACAAGCATGTGTGACTGTGTGTGAGAATGTGTTTTCTTTGTAAATAAAGGGCTTCATATTAGAACAGAAATATACCAGATTTAGCAAACATTTTCCGAACAGTTTGTTTGGGCACGTTATACAGTAGAGTAAATAGGACACATGCATGCTGGCAAAGCTGTTGTGTTGTGCTGTAGACTTATACATGTTTGGGCTTAGCTGAATGTATCATTACTATCTTATTTTTAATTTATTGTGGATTAATGATTAGCAGAAGCTGTACCAAAACAGCAATCTGTAGTTGTGCATGTAATTTCCATCAGTTGGAAACCGGTGCACCTGGAGGAAACCTATGCAGACAAACATAAGATGCTCCACACAGAAAGGACTCATCTGGAGGTAGAATTAAACCCAGAACCTTCCTGCTGTGAAGCACAAGTGCTAACCACTGCGCCATAGTGCCAACTAGTAATCATCAGACTAGTAAAAAAAGCAACATTCCTTCTAAACGCTGCATCACCTTGTCGTCCAAATAAATCTGATGGTTTTAATCTGAATCTGTTTCATGCTTTAATATTACACAAGGCCATAAAAAGACGCATCTTGGTTTATTGCTGCAGTAAATGTGGGAAAGTAAACAAAGCAGAACACAAGTGCTACAGCAGTAATTGAATGATGTCAGGTCTGTTTAAAGATTTACCAACGTTACAATGAATTAGGAGATGATTTTAAGCGTATGTCGCTCAAGTTTCATAAATAGGCTCCTAGGCAAAAGAGAGAGTAGACCCTCTTGCCTGATTACTAGGCAAGGCACATTTAAACAAAGCAATCTTCAATGTGTAGTGTAACAGGACATATGCACTATAATAGGACAGGATAGTAATATGTAAATAAAGATAATCATCTCTTCAGGTGTCCACCGGAAGTTTTCAGCTTTCTACACTTTCAACTGGTGCTAAATTACTTACATGTAAAGATTGTTTCTTACTTTTTTATCTCGTCTTCTACTGCAGTCACTCCTTCTTTCTGAGGCAACAGAATCTTATGTGTGGCACTGCCAAAGTCACACAACACGTAGTTCCCCTGGTCGTTCAAGAGGATGTTCTCAACCTGGACAAAAACAGAATTTCATATTTATTATACTGACAACATACCCACTCTTCTCACATTTAAATTGTGCCAGTCATTCATGGGGGGCTGGTGTGGCAGCAGGTTTTCATTCCAACCAATAAGGTGCAGACCAGATTCGACTTATATAATCTAGTCCTGTTTTAACCAGAGTCTGGTGTTTCCCAGCAGATTTGGAATGAAAATGGCGGCCCTTTCTAGATTATTGTGATATTCAAAAATTGCAATATTCCTTCCTTTGCTAGCCTGGTCGTACCACACCATAGTACAAATGACATTTCGTACTAAGGTCTGGAGGTGCTCCATTGAGCTCCGTTAACAAGTGGGAGGGGTTAACTCCTTTTGTAGATTGAAACGATTGGATCCGAGTTTACCGTGACGTATGTAATGTGCCCGAGTGAGTCGCTAGCATTTAGCCTAGCCATCTCCTTTGCTTGGAGCCCGTGGGGAGTAGCGCCACAATTTTTTCCAGTGATTACATATGCTAAACATTTCTCTCGCTCCGGCTTCAATTTCTTGAAAGAACCAGACCGGAATACTTTACTATCGCATTTTTTGCCATTGCCAAACTACAACCTTCCTGTATTCTTGACGTCACCCACAACTAACTACTATGCGCGCGTTCGCTGATTGGTCGGTCAAAATTCAAGCGATTGTAATCGCTAACACAGGGACCAGACCCAGACGTTACATGCAGGAAAATTATTATTGACCAGAGTGTACGGATGGCCAACGCTGGAACGCTGAAGCCTCGCTCACCAGACGCACATTCTCTACTTTTCAGAGGCAGGGGTCTTCAGACCAGAAGTCCTGGCAGGCGCCTGTGGTGACAGTTTTTGGAGTAATTACATAAAACCAGCCGCAGCAAATACACGGACGTCAAAGGCCTTTTATCAATGCAGAGACGCCCTTCTGACGCCATGCTGAGCTTTGTGAGGGCCCCCTGCTGTCTGTCACACCCTTGTGTCTTTCGTATCTTGAATCGGTATGCCTGCTCCTATCCATATGTCCCTGCTGCCAGGAAGGAGCCGGGCCCCCCCGACACCTACAGACAATGGCTATCACTCTTGCCCCCTTTCACCTCTTGCATATGTATCGGTCTGTATGTGTGCACTCTCTACATCCTGCAGTCTGTTTGCATCCCTATGCGCCTCCTGCACCGGTGGCCCCCCTCCCATCTGTTGTGGGCGGGACTGGCTTTCGTGTGTGTCTTGTATACAGGAAGCTCGGGGCTCTGGCCCCCAGAGCTAGTACATGCTGCCTTGTGTATGTGCTGACTCTCCGTACGTATGTTAACAATAAACTTACGCTTTTGATCAGACAAAGACCTTTGAGTTTTCTCCTTCATTGGGTAGAAACTTCCTTAACAATTTGGCGTTGCTGACATGTCTTGGCATGGATACTTTCGGCGGGGACGAGCGGCTTTGTTTGGCCGACCTGGATCACCAGCCTCTGTTCCCTTTTTGGAGACAAAGGAGGGCGCGCTCGTCCCGCGCACGGAAGGAATCCTTTTGCCACACAAGACCAAAAAGAACCTAATCTGGTGAGTCTTGTCTTTTCATCTGCGTAACGAGCCCAGGGCAGCCCTTAAGTCGACACGGGGATTTGTTTATTTATGTATTTTTGGGGTATTTCATTCATTGCCACAGCATAGTCTGTGTGCGGGATTTTTTGGGGGGCTTTTTGTTCTAGATTGAAGCTAGCGGCTGCGCGTTAGTATCGCATTGTAAGCGACCCTGGAATCTCTGAGTGTCTTCAGCCAGAACCGCTCCGTTTTCAAGAACGCGCGCTCGCTGGTTGAACCAGCGGGGGGGGGAACGGAGCGCCCCAAAGTGGGTAAGAGCAGGGAGAGACTAAGCGGGTTAGGCCCATTGTTCGTACGAGAAAATGGGTAAAATCAATCTACAGATGCAAGCTATGAAGTGCTTGCCTATGGTGCAGGTCATCTGCGTGATAATTTAGAAGAAGAAGGGAAGAAAAAAAATATACTTGGTTTTAAGAATATCACGGCAAAAGAGGTTAGAGAAAGAAATATGTAAAAACAATAGCTCCTCCGCCTTTCACCAAAGCGGAGAACACACAGGCGCACACACACGCCCTCTCTCACCTACTAACCCTTTCACACTAGGAGCAGAACTCCATGCTAAGTACGCGCCCAAACAAGGCGTTGGGTTTTTAAAAAATGAAGCAGACTACTGTTGTCTCTTTTCCCTCTCCCTTATCCAGGTCTGTCGGCGCCTTTCCTCCGCGCTCTGTCCTCTGCCTCAAAGCACCAGCCCCACGCCCCAACCACAGGCGGCGCCCGCACACCAGCTGAGACCCCGCGAGAAGTGGGCCCAAACCGCAGAAGAAGAAGAGGCGGAAACAGACACACGCTCAGGAAACCACAGAAGAAGTGGGGGAAGCAAATATGTGAGACACCGACAACTGCTCTGGAGCACAGAGAGAAACTGCTCCAAATCCCGTGACTGTTCTCCACGGAGGGGGCAGCGTGATATACCAAACGCACCCGCGGAAACCCGCTTGAAAGTTGTTCCCGCACCGCAAACAGAAGAAGCCATTGTGACCGGCACGTTTGGGTCATTCACCAACCCTCATGGACCACATGCTAACGCTTTGGGCTACCTGGGCCTCCTGCGGACTTTGAAAAACTTCCACAGCCCGGCGGAAAGACTGTGTGCTCGACATGGGTCGAAGGACTGTTACCGGAGGAGGCGTTAAAGGCAGAGGAACGCTCAAGCTAACACGGGGCCAGAGGACGGCAGAGGCGGGCACGGAGGAAACACGAGCGACTGACCAAACCTGGGTTCACATTCGTCACCAAAGCGACCGCTCATGTAAGTTGAACAACAACAAATTGCAATTGGCACTTTTTAGAGATAATTCATGCCCGTAATATACGCTAACAACCTGTGGTGTACAAGTTAAAATTCTGGATGACTCCGGGGCAACAAATTCTGTGCTAAAAGTGACAGCCTTTCTGTCTCCCCTAAAATGAGCGGCCGCTTCATATTCTAATTAGCAGCGTCGGAGAGACGACTAAAGAGCAATTTACGTCACCGCTAACGTGTTTTGATTCTCAGGGCAACCAGCTTAAACATTCTTTTCTATATTCCCCATTGTCCCCGGTTAATCTACTAGGCCGAGACCTTATGTGCAGACTCAATTAAAAATAGATAAATAAAAGGAGGCACCGGTCCCAAAAGTTAACTACCACTGGAAATTGACACCAAACCCTGAGATTGCTAAGTTATTAGCCACAACAAGTGAATAGTGACGCCCGCACAAAACTTGGAGGTCAACCACGCGAACGACCTAAGCTGCTCTCTCCGGTCGTTCCCAGACAATAACTTGGAGTTTGAAAATTCATGCAGTGTAGGGAAGATAGGCTAACGGAGTACGTTTATTGAGATAGGCACCACTATCTGTGCTACTTAATGAGTAACAAAAACATTTTTATCGTGAAACAAAGGTGAAGTATTAAAGTTTGAGACTAATTTACATTTTTAATGAATCCGACCTGGCTTTATTGAAAGAGAAAAAAATAAGGAAAGTAAACATTTTTTTAGGTGACAAGAGCTCATTAGAGATATAGGGGACACAATCTGTGATAAGCCCGAAGTATAGACCACGTGGTAAACACTAAAGTTGGAAATGCATCCTTTTAGGAAAACTCTTTTAAAGCTCTGCAGGCTCTGAAAGTTGCAACAATAAGAAATAGCTCATGAGACAATTGGAATTGGACATGGAAAAATATAACAAAGTTAAAAGTACAGGCCTTCTGTGTGTGTTACATGTTTGTGTGTTATATGTTTTGTGTATGTTATATGTTTGTGTGTCATGTCAAAGTACACTACGCTGACCTTAACAAACTCTGGACCAATACTCGTGGGGAATCGGCCTGTGATGTGACTGTGATGTGACTGTGATGTGATGATGTGATGTGAGTGAGTGAAATGAGGAATGCTGAACGGAATCATGGAATAACAAATGTGTCTGTAATGTTTTAATGTGATCATGGAATAATTCTTTTTTGTCAACAGCATACGGTGTAAGTACTAGAGATTCAAAGATAACGACCTTTATTGAACAGGTGTAAAAGTGAGAGTACTCTGGGATGAGTACTCTGAGAAAAGTACTCTGCGGAAAGTACTCGGAGATGAAATACCTCGCTGAAGATATTGGGAGTTCCTCCCTCTGCTGTTTGCCCTGACAGTGATTCGGTCCAACCGCAGTGAGCGGTCATTGGGCGGAGGACAACTTTGGTTCGTAAACTCACATTTAGGGGAGTATAAAATTAGTAACATACATTTTGTTGTTCTGTATCTGGCTACAGCCTCCGCCCTGATGCCACACACCGTCTGTCAATGCAGTTATGTTTTGCCCAATTGGGAAAAAGATTGACAAGCGAAAGTGGGCATTTTTTGTGTTTTTTTTGTGTTCTGATATTTCTTTTTCAGATGAGAGATAAACTACCCCTGCTCCAGGGATGACAGTAGTATGGATCAGGAGGAAATGAGCCTCCACTTTGGCACAAAAGCCCACAATATGAATTGAGGACGATCCGGGAGAAAAGCAACTGGAGATGAACGGAACAGTCGGTACTTTTGCAGCCTCACTGAGGGCCACTGAGACCCACTGCTTACTTCTCAGCAAAACTCGATCCCGTGGCAGCAGGGTTGCCTCGCTGCCTGCGGGCTGTGGCTGCCACTGAGAAAGCGGCCCTAGCATCACGTGACCTTGTGGGATACACTGAACTAACTTTGCTTGTGCCCCATGCTGTTTCCCTGATCCTGTTAGAGCAGAGGGCCTCTCGCCTTTCTGCGGCTCGTTGGCTGGGGTACAACACGGTGCTCTTTGAACTACGGTGAAGGGATGCACACAGCTGAACCCCCCCTCGCTGCTGCCCACGCCAGAGGAAGGGGAGGCACACTGCTGTATCGCCACAATAGAGCAGAGATGCACTCCCAGGCCAGACCTGA